CGTCGCTTGGGACTCAATTCCCGCGTATGCGCAGGTGACAACCCTCCCGATTTAAGGAGAATATTTCAAATTTGATTACCGTTTGAAGCTGCTCCTGTGACGTAATTGTTCTTGATAATGACGTAATGATCGTATCCATCTCGTCACTGAAGCTGTCATAAACGAAATAATAAAATATGTTAGCGAAATGACTTCTTGTTTACGTTAGAACGCCATATGGCAAAAGTTTTGGACGATTCAAATCCGATTAAAATCCAATGTAGACATAGGCTCAATTTTATTTAATATTTTTTTCAATTATAATATTTTTTTAGTGTCATATTTGTTTACCGGTAGTTATGACTATTATTGTGTGGTTTTACTTGCAGGTTTTTTATCGTATCTTGGTCGCTTTAACTAGTTTTAAGCGACTGAGATAAGATGTAAAACAAAGCTTAAATAACTTAATAAGGCTAGTTAAATCATAAAATAGTCATAACTAAACAAAATGGGATGAAAGAGTCATTATTATTGACATGCTTTAACAAGTTTTCAAGATTATAATAATTTTTCATTAAATAACATTCCTCAAACTATGCACTGCAATGCACATATGTTCAGTAACATGCTCAGTGGTTCAAAAGTTATCTCCCATAATGCATTGCATGTATGTTCAGTAACATACTCAGTGGTTCAAAAGTTATCTCCCATAATGCATTGCATGTATGTGCAGTAACATGCTCAGTGGTTCAAAAGTTTTCTCCCATAATGCATTGCATATATGTGCAGTAACATGCTCAGTGGTTCAAAAGTTATCTCCCATAATGCATTGCATATATGTACAGTAACATGCTCAGTGGTTCAAAAGTTATCTCCCATAATGCATTGCATATATGTGCAGTAACATGCTCAGTGGTTCAAAAGTTATCTCCCATAATGCATTGCCTATATATGTGCACTAACATGCTCAGTGGTTCAAACTTTGAAGTTCTCTCCCATAATGCATTGCATATATGTGCAGTAACATGCTCAGTGGTTCAAAAGTTATCTCCCATAATGCATTGCATGTATGTTCAGTAACATACTCAGTAGAGTGAAATTTGAATTCAACTCAAGCATCCTTTCAAATAAGATAACTATCTTCTAAGCCGTCTATGTATTGTAAACCATTTTCCGACCACTGTGAGATCCCGGATTATGCGAAAAATCGAACTTAAAACATGACAAACAAAGGTCATAGTGATGTCAAAAACACCGCATGGGATTCAACAAATGCGAAAGTAAATTTTAGATATTTTCTCGCTCAATAATGTGCTAAACACATTTGATGATCAAGTAAAGATGTCTAAACGCCATATTCCTCTCTGAAAGATTGACATTTTGACATTGAACTATAAAAAGTTTAAAATCATTTGTTTTTTGCGGCAGATGTTCGATTCACGCTTTTCACGCATTACGCGAGATCTCGTAGTGAACGGAAAATCACATACTATGTAATAAAACTACAATGCACTTAATTCATGCCAGTTCTTCTTCAAAAAGTTCCAAGCCAAACTCCTCCCGACTTCAACGTTTTCCGCCACAGATGTGATAATGTCTGCTCTATCTTCCAAACGAACGAGAGATGAGTCCATGACATAATCCAAATACCTGGAAACCACATGGACATTAATAATAATCAATAACTTTGATCTCATGGCATTGGGTGTCAATATCATGAGCACTACAATTTTTGGAACGTTAGAAACTTTCTATCGTGCAGTCTTCCACCACATTTTTATAGCGAGGGAGTCGTCACGTGCGCATGCGTCAGATGGCCATAGCGTGTCATTGTTTACAAACAAGCGTCTATCCATGAGCCTTTCGTTTCTAGTATACGCAAAAATGTTTCTAAAAATATAAAATCATTGTCTGTGGCTACTTGGAGCAAAACTAAATGTTGTAAAATTTAGATAAACCATTATATTAATGTTTTATGTTCAATTAAAGCGAGGGAGTCGTCATCAGCACATGTAGTTGTTTACAAATAAACGTCTGAGCGCCCGCTAGCGACAGAGTGCTCCTTTGACATAGAAATGACGTATCTGGTTTGTAATTCTACAATTCTGGTTGTGTAGTTGTTCGTCATCAACGATTCAGTAACATCTCTCAGAAACATAATATTCATAGAGCTTTTGTGTCTCCGGTTTGCGTCATCATCCATCAAGTTCTTCGTCACTAGAGGGCGCAATTTATAGGACAGATACCACACTCAAAACGCTGGGCGAGGGCGCCGCCAGTGTTTGGAGTGTGGACAGATACCGGTGCCTTATTACTCGCTGGATCCCGGCGTCAATTGCAAATAGCAAATATCCTCGGGGCGGACTTTTGGACATTTAATAGCAGCGTGGAACGTCTTGTGACGTAGCTCCGCCCCGAGGATAGGATGGCTAAATGCTCCATGACATTTGGGGCGGGAACCAGCCCAGCAGTATTATCGCCTACCTTTCTAGAACGACACTGTCCGCTGAGCAAGCCATGGATCTGATTATGATATTTCTTTTAGTATACGTAGATGCACGTCTGTACTTGTCCCATAACATTTCCCATTCGTACTCGTCTCCATATCTCACACCGGCACAGTACACAGCATGACGCATATTTGGGTCCACTCTGCCGGAAATGACGACATGAATATCAGTGAAATGAGACACGTGAAATATTACACGTGATTTTCCCGTTAGCACACAGTAATTTTATAATTATACACATGTTGCGTAAAATAAATACATGTTATTAAACTACCTTATAGAATAAGTAATGTTTAGCCATGCACAAGCCAAGTGAATGCTTATTCCATCGAGTCGCCCATAACATGTGCATGGTTATATTACCCTGTAGAACTCAATGATTAACATGTATGTAGTTAACATGTCAAGGACTGCTTATTTTTGATTGAATGAAGATGCCGAATTGTACGAGTTGCGGATATCGAGTCACGAAAACTTCGAGTTGTAAAAATGACCATGAACGTCCACAATTAGTAACTCGAACTTTAATTAACAGTTACTCACATAACGAGTTACGGGCAACATAGACTTTTTGTGTTTTGTTTAAGAAAAATACTAGTATATGTTGCTCGTAACTCGAAGTTCTGTTGACTGGTAATTGAACATCGACTTACAATTCGGGCGTGGTTTCCCAAAAATTACGTGGGCGTGGTCGTTTTCTTAACTCGATGTTCGTAAACGATGTTCGTAACTCGATGTTCGTAACTCGCTTTCCGTAACTCGAACATTTTAGCATCTTGTTTCTGCTTGACCAAAACTCAAATATTCAGTGAAATACACGCCATTTGACATTTGACCTGACTAGTCAGTTCATTTATAGATTTTAAAATTATGAAAAACGCTGCACGCATTTTTTTTTTAAATAAAGTATTATCAGGGGGAAATTCTTCTCCTCTGGGTTCTCCACACGTGTCAGGGGGGAATCTCGTCTCGTCTCTCTATCGCGCCCCCTTGAGGTACGGGACCGGGAATGTCACTTAAGCTTTACAGTCAAATAAGACACACACAACGAAATACGTTTCAACTTTCGTATTTAGTCAGTCAGTCGAGTACTCTTTAAGACACAGCGCCCTGGGGAAAAAATCCCCAAGACTCTCGCAAGGCTGACCCAAGACTAGCCCAAGACTGCGTCTAGATTGCCCCAAGACTCTCTCTAGACTGCGTCTCTCCTCGTGTACTCGCAAAGACCAACTAAAAACTCTTTAATCACTTTCAAAACCTTAACCAATTACAAAGAAGTATTAAGACTCTAAGGCGTGGCCTTCAATCATACAGCCAGTCACACTAAGTACTGAACACGTCATATCTTTTGATTAATCGTTCACTACATTAATAACTACGAATACCAAACTGTCAGAAATAGTAGTCAGAATAGCGACGGTTATATCGTAATTAGTTCCAATCACTGAGCCAAGTTCCGTCCATAACCTCACATGGGCCGAAACGATGACAGACATAACACAGCCATTAGCTAGTAATCAGCTAATTAAGTCAGTCAACAGATACGCGAAAACAATTTCATCATAGTATACTCACTTTTCATCCAGGGTCATATATTTATAAAACAATTCTGTCATCTTTTTGACCACGTTTTCATGTCCATATATCACACAAATTTCTAAGATGGCTTTCCGCAGAAGTCTGCAAGAAACGGTGCATAATATGTCAAGAGTTTGAAAAAAATACACATTCTTTAGAGCGCCAGAATACACCTTTTTATGAATAGCGCCATCTAGCGAGAATCACATCAGATGGCGTAAATGGATAACACGAAAGCCGTTCAAAGCCTCAATATCGTTTTGATCTGTCTTCCTCCATCGATGAAGATGTTTTCGAGAGATGTGACTTGATGAAGAACGACTCCACAACACGCGCAGTTGTTGATTTGAATGACATAGCCTTCACCATGTACGCCGCCATTTTGACGTCACAGAAGCACCCCTGTCACTAGAGAGCGTGACTTAGGCAAACGATGTACTACAAGAACAGAACAATCTATTGGAATTATGAATAGCCTAAATCCTCGGGGGCGGAGCTACGTCACAGACCTTCCACGTTGCTAAGACGCGCACCACTGTACCATGCATTTCTATGGGCTCTGTGCGCGCTGCTGTGGAACGCCGGTCGAGCCGGTGAAAATTCGAGAAAACAACACAAACTCAACTTTGAAGTAATCCCGAACAACCAAATTTATATATGTTACACACGTAGGGCTAATCTTGTTACACTGTTCAGGGGAGTCTCAACAATCATCCCAAAGTACTGTTTTCTGCGAGTTTTGGGCCTTTGTTTTCACCGCCGCGGGTTGCCAGGCGGTGAAAATGCCCGGATGTCCGCCCGCGAGGATAGAAGAAAACATTGTAGAGTCTTCCGGAAGTAGAAATGTATAGAAATCATGAATACCAACGCCTTTGAAGAATAAGGGATGAACCATTTGAAATCATGGGGATGACCAGAAGATTTGATTAAAAAAACCAAACACAGGAAGAAAGAAACGCAAGCAAATTGTTGCAGGGGAAATATATTGGCACATTCTCGAGAAATAAAAATGTATAAATATGACAACGCGAAGGAAAAATTGGCAATGTTCATTCCCTGTTCTACATTAGATCACCAGCGGCGATCTAGTAGTGTGGGTGTCCATGTTGGTAATAAACTGAATCGTTTCTTGCAATGCACTGAAATGGGCTGAGCATATGTTACACATTTACAAACTGCCATTTTTTATTTTTTACGCAAAATGACCGATAATTCGACAAATTTGATCAAATCACAGAATAACACAACCTACAGTATCACATAAAAGGATAGTACTTTCATGCAAACTTTTAACTGAATCAGGCAACATTTTAGTGAGGAATCAGCATGGACTTGTATAAAAGTGAAATGACCACCATTCGGCCATGTTTGTTCGAATCTCAAAAATATCAAACAAAAAGAAAAATCTGTAACTACCCCATTATGCATGGTCATAATACTAAGTGTAAATGAAATCATCCCGTTCATCTCTGAGGAGTTTAAGTTTAAGTATCAGAATTTACCAAAATGGCTGCCTGTCAGCCATACTTGATCAAATAGTAATGAGAATTGACGTGTATAGTATGTAAGTCATCGTACAAGGCATATGTGTTAAGTTTGAGTGTGATCGGTCAAAGCATTTCGATTCCGACTTTGTCTAATACATGCAAAATCTCCCATTATGCAATCTAACATACTTATTGGTGTGGGACCCCGAGTCAGTCATTCCTAGTGACTCCAAACTTCCGTTCAATCGTTGAAGCACAAATTTCTGAAAACAAAATATAGCAAGATAAAATTTAGAAAAGAAATGAATTGTTACATCGATGGGTATATTGTCATGGTAACCCTGGTGGTAACCCTCAGCGATTAGTATTTTTAGAACGTCACACGTCACGTGAAAGAGGTCGAACAAGGAGAACGTTTGCGGACGAAAAGGACATTTTCAACTCCAACTTTGTTACTTTGTTGTATTTTTTTGTGATTTGTTTTGAAAATCACAAGAATCACAAGTTTAGTACTTGAACAAAACTACTGAAAATTTATATCAATGTTCATCAGATACAAATACGTCTGGTTCTATTTTTCAATTGTTTGTCCGAATCGAACATTCATGAATAATTAATAACGTGACGTAATGTTTTGTGACGTCAATTGAAAGAAACGCTATTCAAAATGGCTGCCATTTTGGGGATTTTTACAAATGTAACTCTTTTGGATACTATTTCAAGTCTACTTGACACAACGAATAAGTGATATCACCATTAACTCTCGTGCACTAAATTTGTGTACGGGCGAACTTTTTGGTGTGCAAATTCGCAAATATGTGTGTAATTTTCTACAATTTCTTTGTTTGTTGTCTTTTGATTTGTTTATGATGACGAAATTTGACTTTTGCGTTCAAAAGTTTACGACGAGTTACAGTGCAGTCACCATGGTAACTGTCAAAAAGCAGGTTACGGTTTAGAAATTTCAAAGGTTTGAAATTTAACTTCACCCACTTGCTTGCTTTCTTTCTTTCACATGAGTAAATTATGCAAATACATGTAAATGTTCTAACATACATTAAACAAGACATGGTTATTTCCGCTTCCTGTCAACATTTCACCAATATATCGAAATTTTGCAATAGCAGTCATGATGGGAACGTACTCCATTTCTCTATCCAGATATAGAGATAGGTTGAGCGCCCTCTCGTGTCCTACATATCCAGCTCTGTAAGAATAATAAACAAATACTACCATTTGAACGTTTATCTCGATATTCAGTAGGTAATAAATGTTTGTTAAAATTTCACTATTTAAAGAGAGCTGCTCGACGCGCCGCGCATGTGCGACATATTGATAAACTTTGATTTTCCCACAATCCAATGCGTTCTTCTAATTAAATCACAAATACAAGTTTTGACCTGGGCGTGACTTGCACTAATTATTGTCCGTGACTCCCAGTGACTCGTTCGATACATTTGGATCACTAAAGCTTTAAAGCTTGGTACCGTCTCAGTTTGTACTTGCTGATCTGCGCAAGAGTCAAGTCGCCATCTTTGTTTATATGAGACCCATACATCGCGCATGAATGGCGCGATGACCACTGCCCTTTAAATATCTCAAAATTACACTAGTTATTTTAGAATCTTTTTTAACTCTGCTGCACTTTCTTTTTATTATTTTCTCGACTATGCCTTCTGCACTGTTCATTGTTCTAAACCTCGAACACAGCCCGACCCACCTTGCTAGTGTGAATATGTCATCTATGATACTAGCTCTGTCCGACGACATCAGTGTGTTATGATTACTTTTCATTTGTTCTATTATCGCATTCCATCCTGCATCGTCATAGTTCACACGGTAAAAGCCGCTCATGTTGACATTTCCCTTGTACCAAGTCGATCCTTGTTCAATGTCCAGAAAATCTGTTTGACAGAAAAATACACCATTCTTATAAGTCGCGCCCTCTAATGACAGAACGCTACGTTGATGTCAAGTGGCGTGGGCGCGTGCAGAGCATTGTTGCTCAAATCGACCAAGTTTCGTCATCTAGAATATAGTGAAATATCTAAAAACAAGCTCCATCAGTGGACGACCACCGATCAAATCTATATTTATTTTTACAACTTTCGAAACACCCATTTATAACGTAGAAGCGATTCCACACTAGAGGGCGATATTAAGTTTGTCCGAGTATATCAGCAACATCTTGTTCGTCCTCGTTCTAGGCGTGTAATAATAACTAAACTCGGGTAAGTGTTCTAATGGAAGTACTGCGAAATTAAAATAATTGTGATGTAGATTAGCTTGGTGTAAATTTGCATATGAACGAAAAGATAATTGAACTGATGAAACCATAGATGCAAATCGCCGCCGAGATCTCGTTGAGAGCGAAAGCGCCAAACGACGTGTTTTTACTGCTCAAATATTGTTCCATTCCCTCTGACGTGTGTGTCCATTGTTCAGGTGATCTGCCATGTTATTTGCGCATGCACATGGGCGCGATGGCAGAATGTAACTGACAAAAGACAAAACTAAATCTCACATAATGCTGTGTTCAGACTAAAAGCTAAAATCAGGAACGCGCAAAATCCCCAAAACATGCTATAAGCAGATAATTTAAATACTAGTAACTCACCCTTCTTTGTATTCAACCACATTCTGCTGATGTTATCAGGATCGGATGACGTCACAAGTGTCAATGGAATCTTCCATGTATAGCTGAAATATAAATGATGTCTTCCGCTTAAAATGTGCCTTCCAATAAATACCGCCCTCTAGCGACGAGTTACTTTTATGAGGTGAATGGCTGAAATGATTTGTTATATTGTATTTTCGCGGGATTTATTCTGGCCAATATAACATCAGAACATTTTCAAATGTTCCTTTGATGCCTATTGTGTCTTGAATCCATAAGAATTATATCCAATAAATGCCTGGCGCCATTGCGCATGCGCTTGTTGGCTCGCTGATTGGGTCCAACTGCCATTGACATTTGTAAACATTTATAAAAAAAACACATACAAAAACAGCACAAGAGAACTGGTTGGTGGACGCAGTAGTAAATATCATTCGTCTGTTCGTCGCTGGCAGGTATAATGGAAATACGTCACGCTTGCATATATAATCAGTACACCAGTGATATGATTGGTCACACAGCCCAGTGCACTTATCCGGAACTACTTTCAGGTTTATCGTCTGCGTTTTTGTGATTCAATGCACTCCGACACGGAAAATGTCTATTATTCAACTAAATTGTGTTGGTGTACCTCGTTTTGCACAATATGTTGCACATTTACCCAATTTTCAATTATGTGACATCGTAATAACAATGTTGAGTATTAGAGGGCGCTCTGGGTGTATTATGTGAAATGTGTCGTAGTATGAGCATGAGCGTAGTGCTGGAAATATATGCCAAGATCTCGCTGTGAGTCAGAGATTTATGAAACAGTATTTTAACTTTAGAATGTATTTTTTTCTCGTGCCTACCGTTCCTTTAAAGCGGAGGAGTCGTCACCTGGGAGGAGGTGAGGGAGGGGGAGATGCCGGTCGCCCACTTCATGCAAAATTTCGTGCCGCCGCCTATGGGGATGAAGTTGTTGCACGATTCTCAAACAGCGCGCTATGACGTTTGGCTTTGACGTGAGCGTGCTTTGAAATAACGCGCGTAACGGTCATTATATTCAAGACAGAATCTCATTTGCATACGACCTTCTCGCTGGCTGATTTAGTGAGATAGGAAACAACTCTCACTGTCTTTTCGTCCTCAACGAGATTTCGGCAGCCATTTCCGTCTAAGACTAACATTAGATTAGTATTCAATAAACATCCCAAATAAACACAAATAAATCTACAAAACTCATCCCAGAATGAAAATTTCATACACCACGTTACATTCTGTTACCAAATTTTGCCAATTTTCGCCAAAAAATAACAATCACAGTTTTTTACCATATAACACTTACTCGAACGGTGATGCGTTATTTGAAGATAGTTCGCCATCGGGATAAATCAAAAATCGTTCCTGGGTAGCAGTTATGGTGTCATCGTTTCGTGACAGCGTCACCACGGGGTACCCCATCTGTAATGTCCATGTGTCCATCACATCCTTCACTATCACTTTATCTTCGCCATTTTCACCGCTCTAAAATAGAGAAACGAACATGAGTGAAAGATGCTAATTTCTTCCCAGTCATAGTTGTACATCTATGCGCCATTGGCTAATTACATCGTCACGTGACATTTCGCCTACTACATCTTCAACCAAAAAATAAAAATAAAACTACCTTACTCGATGTTAATGACCTCATCTGTGTTAATGACCTTATCTGTGTTAATGAACTTATCTGTGTTAATTACCTTATCGATGTTAATGTTTATACCCGTGTAATGGCCATATATGTGTTACTGGTCTTACCTGTGCCAGTGGCCTTACCTGCGTTAATGACATTATCTGTGTTAATGACCTCATCAGTGTTCATGACCTTATCTGTATTAATGCCCATACCCGTGTAATGGCCATATATGTGTTACTGGTCTTACCTGTGCCAGTGGCCTTACCTGCGTTAATGACATTATCTGTGTTAATGACCTCATCAGTGTTCATGACCTTATCTGTATTAATGCCCATACCCGTGTAATGGCCATATATGTGTTACTGGTCTTACCTGTGCCAGTGGCCTTACCTGCGTTAATGACATTATCTGTGTTAATGACCTCATCAGTGTTCATAACCTTATCTGTATTAATGCCCATACCCGTGTAATGGCCATATATGTGTTACTGAGCTTATCTGTACCAATGACCTTTCCTGCGTTATTGACCTTATACGTGTTAATGGCCTACCTTCGTGAAAGCTGACCACAGATTGTCGTTTTTCGCATTGCTATACGCATACGCTGATAGATAATCTTGTAAACCATTTCGAAAAGCATCGTACCCTAGAAAGTCCATCGCCATTCTTATTATGGCCGCTCCCTGTTAATTAAATCACAGCAGGAAACTCATTCATCTACTTCTGAAACGTTCAGGTTTGTTAGCGCCATATTGGATTTGGCGCGCCATATTTGATTTGGGCCAGCATAATTGATTTGGAACGCCATATTTGATTTTGACCGCCATATTTGATTTGAACCGCCATATTTGATTTGGACCACCATATTTGATTTGGAGCGCCATATTCGATTCGCAGCGCCATATTAGATTTGAATTTGAATCAACTCGAATCGTGTATAACAATTTTCTTTCCTATTGTCCCTATGTGTGATGAGGCATTTCTTATACTTTTTGCTTGTTTGCGTAAACCAGAATAATGCTGTGATGTACTGAGACTATGGCGTAAGTTACCATTTGCATATTAATATTGATACATTGTATGGAACATCTCGCGTGGACTTTGCCTCAGTTCCAGCCCTAGGAGATGCTATTTTTTTTATATCAGTTAACCGAACTTCGAATTACGGAAAATATAAACGTTTAAGGGCGATAGGCTTCGCGCGAGATATATGGGTCTCATATAAATAAAGATGGCGACCTTGACTAATCATACTCGCTGCAGCCCAACGTGTACAAACTGAGACGTTACCAAGCTTTAAGTAGGTAATTTTTAGGTGATTGGAAGGTATCGAAAGAGTCACCGGCGATATTCAGTGCAAGTCGCACCCAGGTCAAACCTCATACTTGTGATTTCCATTTGAAGAACGCATTGGATTGTGGGGAAATCAATGTTTATCAACACAAAAGTCGCACGAGCGCAGCGCGACGACAACCGCGCTTTAAACGAAACAAAAATTCAGCATCTCTGGATCTGTAGTCGTTCACCAATAATGATTATGTTTTGAGAGACTTTATTATATTCTAGATGATAGACGACCACACAACCAATCACGGTTGTCGAGTTAAACGACACATTACACTACATATACGTCATTACATTACATATACGTCAAGTTTTCTGCTAAAAAAGAGTGCGATTTATAAGAATACTGTATTGTATGTGCGCTTCTACCATTAGTCACGGGAAGTGCATGTGAAGTCACGATTTGACGTCATGAAAACGATTTTTCGCCAGAGGGCGCGAGTGAATTACCTTAAGATATGATATCTTGTCAAATAGTTTCTTTATATCCGCTGGATTGTTGACAGGTAAAGAGACCGGATGTGAGTGGTGCAATGCGTCCAGTGTCATTGCTTGTTGCGTCACTCCATAAACAAACTGCTCCATCTGTAATTAAATGACAATATTCTGTTTCATTGACTATAGATGACAATGGCCGCCAAAATCTCGCTGATAGCGAGAGCGTGACGAGACTTGTTTTTACCTGGAAATAATGTTATATTCTCCCTTGTCATTTAGTCTACTTCTTTTTAATGTGTGCAAAGGTGGTATTGTTAAAGTGGACGCAATGACAAGGGGGAAATAAAACGCTATTTGTGGTTCAAAACCAAGTCACGATATCTCATCTGTCTCGCACTCTACGAGATTTGCTTGTAAGCTCAATCTAGATATCGCGAACATTAATATTTTAGTTATTAATTTCGGAGTTGTTGTCAGTATATTCAATGTTAACGATAACGCCGATAGCCAAAAATGTCAATGCGTAAATTATGTTAATTAGTGTCAATCTACTTCCGGACATGGTCGGCAATGACCAATCAGTGTTAGTTTTACTCTGGTTCATGTTTTACTGCGTTTTTGTATTAGTCGCACTTCTATGCCAAATAGTTTAGTCATTTGGGAAATAAACGCTTTACAGGTTTGCGTAGTTAGCGCCTCGTTATCAAAAGACCTAACCCTTGTCTGTATTTCTGTCTTCGCTGGTTCCCGGCGTCCTTTGCGAATGGCAGGTAGGACGCAGGTAACTAGTAATCGCCATATTGTTCCATTTGGGCCGGTTTTCCGGCCGGAAGACACGTGACTGAGTGACGTAATTTGAAAACTTTCCAAGTTCCGTTCTGCGTAAACGTGTCTGTAATACTACAATAAAGCCATGCTCATACATACTGTCTGCTTAGATTTACAGATTTGATATGTTCTATGCAAATTTATAACAAAAGAAACAGTTTTTTTTATTCGCCCAACTTTCGAAAGTAAAAGGAAACCCCTGAACGGCCACGAGCGTAAGCGCTGACGTCAGGTAACTAAGGGAAATGGAACAAGCAACGAGAAAGTGGTGTACTAATCAGAATGCCGGAACCGTTACTAGTTACCGGCCTCTTGTGGCTTGGTACGCCATGACACTTGAGGCGGGAACCAGCCAATATTTCTGTCATGCTATTCACATATATTAACCCGGTGCAATGACGTAGCTTCAGACAAGTATCCAATTGACTAGCGAGCCCCGCGTCATGTGGTAGAGTTTAACCAATCAGTGCTCGTACCGATGATTCACGTGACTCACCATTCTCCACTCTGGATTGATATGATCGGTGCCAATGTACTCAACATAAGTTGCAAAGCCCTCATTCAACCATAGGTCGTTCCACCATTTCATTGTCACCAAATTACCAAACCACTGAACGGAGAAATATATAATTTTTTAATTTGGTAAATACAATTCGATGAACGACAAGGAAATGAGTCAGTCAGTCAATCGGTGAGACAGTCGATGAGTCAGTCAGTCAATCAGATAGACAGTCAGTCAGTCAATTGGTGAGTCAGTCAATCGGTGAGACAGTCGGTGAGACAATTGGTGGGACAGTCGGTCAGTCAGTCAGTCAATCAATCGGTGAGTCAGTCAGTCAGTCAGTCAGTCAGTCAGTCAATCTTTGAGACAGTCGGTAAGTCAGTCAGTCAGTCTATCAGTGAGACAGTCGGTGAGTCAGTCAGTCAATCGGTGAAACACTCAGTGAGTCAGTCAGTCAGTCAGTCAATTGGTGAGATAGTCGGTGAGTCAGTCATTCAATTGGCGAGTCCGTCGGTTATTCAGTCAGTCAATCTGTGAGACAGTTGGTGAGTGAGTGAGTCAGTCAGTCATTCGGTGAGGCAATCAGTCAATCGGTGAGTCAGTCAGTCAGTCAGTCAATCGGTGTAACAGTCTGTGAGTCAGTCAGTCAGTCAGTCAGTCAGTCAATCGGTGTGACAGTCGGTGAGTCAGTCAATCAATCGTCCAGTCAGTCAGTCAATCAATCTGTTCCCAAAATTGTCATACCTGGTGAGCTATTTCATGTGCAATAGCAGCAGTTACATCTTGTAGTACGGTAACTGGTGTATTCTGGGAATCATACAGTATACTACTTTCCTGGTAACTGATCAGTCCCCAACTTTCCATACCAGCATCGTTGTACTGTGGAATGGCTATCATGTCTGAACGACAAAGAAAAATAACGTATTCTGTAAAAGCATTTTATTTCACTGACATTTACTTTCACGAATTTGTCAAGGAAACAATGAGTTATATTGTTATTTTGCATGTTCACATAGATTTAATTTAGCGGGTTTCACTTATCCGCGAAAATAGCGAAATTAAAATCCAGTGAATAATTAATACATTTACAGTGTATTAACTGCAAGTTAAGTTATTATCTATGGTCGTATGGTTACACAAATTTAGATTTAAATTCTAAATCCATAATCTGACTTACCAAATATCGCTCTGCACAAGGCGAAGGCGAGTTCACGTCAGTTACTTGAAATGCAGATTGGCACTTGAATTTGGATACGAAACCCATTTTCGGCAATGAATACGATATTTATTCATTTTCCGCAACGAATACGAAACCTGCCCATTTTCGGCAATGAATACGAAACTTACCCATTTTCGGCAATGGATACGGAACTTACCCATTTTCGGCAATGGATACGGAACTTTAAAAAATGATTCGTAAAATGACAAACACTCAGTTGCAGTGGATAGAGCATGGTCAGCCATGTTGATTTTGTCAGGCGTGGTGTAAACTTTGACCTATAGTGAAAATAACATGGTGTATAGGCGGCTTTATTCGCATATGTCCGTTCAAGGGTCAATTCGAAGTATGTTAAAGCGGGAGGGTCGTCACGTGCGCATGCACGGGAATTGAGTTCCAAGCGACGAAACGCAAAGGCTCATGGGTAGATGCTTGTTTGTAAACAACATCACGCTATGGCCATCTGACGCATGCGCAGGTGACGACTCCCCAGCTTTAAATTGTTGGTGTGCATTTACAGGCAAGTTGAATACTATAGTTTGACAAAACGAAAAGTATCTGCGTCATTTTTTTTTTCATTTTCGGTGAGAAACTATATTAGGAACCGCGCTCTCTGTCATATTATGTTTAAATCTGAGAGGTTACCAAGCTTTAATTTTATATTATATTTTGGTGTTTGGAAGAGATCGAAAGAGTCGACGGCGGTAATTGGTGCAAGTGGCGCCCAGGACAAAACTCGTACTTGTGATTTTATTAGACAAGCGCATTGGATTGTGGGAGAATCAATATTTATCAACACAAATATCGCACATGCGCGGCGCGACGGCTATGCATTCGAAAATAATGAATAACAGATTACGTACATACTAGTACATTATTTACTATTTTTTGCACAGAAATATAAACTACCTGAATACGTGATGCACTGTAACCTTCCACGTACTGAAAGTCACACACGGTCAAGGCCACCAAATATGTACTCATCTTCACCGTCGTCTTGAACGTGTCCAACATCATCCCTGTGTCGCCGTACTTGGCGCTCTCACCGTCCAGCGGCATATTGGACATCGATATGTGGTCCTTGTCACGAACGATAGAAATAGTAAACTCGGCTTTCATGTCCGGCTCGTCAAAACACGGAAATACTTGACGCGCGAACGTGGGTTCCAGGTACGTGGTTGCTATGGTGCTGTGAGGTAGAAAGAAGATGTGTAATTATGTTATTTTCCGAGTGTTATTCTTTTTTTATAGATGTATTCCTCAGAATTTTCCGGGTATGTCTACATAATTCGTCTAATAAGCATTGTACCTCGTCTAACGTCTCAGACATTCTTGTATGTATATGTTTTATATCAACGCAATTCGCAGGCTAAATACAGCGCATTCTAAAACATTCTAAAGAAAGTTCTTAAATACGCATTCGCGTTTTTTTTTTAGTTTACGACAAAAATACGTGTTTTCGTCCGAATTTCATATATAATTAAACGCAGTGAATGTTTTGTTTCGCTTCAATGTAAACACTTGTAAACACACACAGTGGCGATAAATCCAAACTGCGTCCCTAATTAAAGCGGAGAAGTCGTCATCTGCGCACGCGCTGTAATTGAGTCCCAAGCGACGATAACAACACATACTAAAAACGCAAAGGCTCACGGACAGACGCGTGTTTGTAAACAGCGACACACTATGGCCATCTGTCGCATGTGCAGGTGATGTAAAATGCATCATCATATTCCTATGTATATGTTTGAATAAATTAAGAATGCAAATCCCGAACTTCTGCAACCATCGACTGATTCTGGATTCTCAAGCACGCCGCCAACGGCAAGTATGTTTGAACCCAACATGTTTATTCAAATCATGATTATCCATCTATCGTTTATTGAAACGCAAGAAAGTGTAAACCGAGTTAGTTTTATTTAAATTGTGGTAACAAACCCGCCTTCTTCACTGAAAAACGATGAGCAATCTGGTTTTTTATTCAAAATAACGAACACGTAAACCAAACACTTGTGTTCAAATCACGACGAGCCATCCACCTTTTTATTCAAAAGATTAATAACAAATCAAATGTTCAAACCGTTAAAATCAATGTGCCCCTTTCGTTCAATCGAAACTTAGCGCGGTATTATTAGAACAAAATAGCTTTGTAGTGGGGCTGACAGGCCATGTAATTTTTGTACAGTCAATCCCACGTTTACGGTGCTCTATTTAATGACGTCAGCATATTTTAATTCAAAATTTGTTTCGCCACAAGCTTGCTCACTAGCCTAATATGCACTAAGATGATGCCATTTCCCGTCCTGCATTGCATTATTATAAAAAAATAAAAATGGCGATCAGGACCCACTGAAACGGACACAATCTTCCAGTTGGCCACTATGATTACTGTTTCAACATACTAAAAAATCAACAACTCCTTTCCACTGACTTTTTTTGCTAAATTTCAGACTTTTGGAAAAATCAAAACACCCTTATTTTAAAAAAAAACGGGGAGGATTTTTATTTGATATGTTTGGCTCAGGTGGGACAAATCTTACACTAACAGAATAATTTCTTGTTGTCATCTCCTCCGGTTTGCTATGAACAGCTGCCATTCTATTGAAAAAATATCCCCTTTTGGTTTTCCCGGACATGCGAATTGAAAAATTATACACCTTTGTCCGCGAAATACAGAACGTACAAGTGTATTCTCGACCAGTCAAGTGATGGCCGCTCATGCAATATAGTATTTATCGGTAAATTAGAGCTTGACCATTAGAAAATCAGTAAGTGGCATGATGGAATTTGAAAACAAAATCTACAGCAAAAAACCATATTTATAAAAACCCATACATACAAACAGAAAAGATAGCCCATTTTGCAACCTACAAAACGTAGGTCAAAACAAGTTGAAGGAAACAATTTTTACAGCAGTTCTACCCCAGAGTCTCATTTACTGACTGTTGTTTTCAAATCACGCGTGATCTCGCAATGCACCGCACATGAACAAAATGGCGTATGTGATGATGTACTTGGACTAACCTACCTGTCTTCGCCATTGGCATGTTTGTACTTGGTGGAGTAGAAACCCACGAAATCGTTCGCTAAATTTCTGTGAAATTCGATGTGTATATTATACGTCATGCCCTTGAGAAGCGTCTCTTCAACTCCAATGTAAAGCATCTCTAAAGTTCCATTCAATGAAGTCTCGCGTATCGGTATAGTTTCGTCACGTGATCCTAAAATGACCGGCGTCCTCGTCAACGTTAGTCCTTTCACGTGGAGAAACACGGAGGGCGTACTTTTGACTACTTTCACGCCAATGTCTACACTTCCCTCATAATAGCCAGACTTAATATCGGGCACAAGGAACAACTTGTAAGTCTCGGGCAGCACGTCACGTGGCAACCGTAAACTGGAGTGCGCGAACGCGTCTTTGGTGTTCTGATTTACGGGTAATGCAAGCGCAAGGATCATAACAACGATGACGATGAGGACTCCCAGACACGCGGCTGCTTGAATGCGGCGAACATTGCCTGATTGACTATTTTTGGATCCAGGTGAGTCCAATGGCTGGTACCCACCATGCGATGACGTCAGCTTAGAAGACTCTGCGTCATCGTCGAAATCCTCGAACCAATCATCTTGCTCCGTTTGCTGATACTTGTACCTCTGATTCCACATAAAGCTCCTCATTGTTTACTTGTCCTTGCCTGTAAAAGACAATCAATGTTTAGATTATAGAGCCCTCTACAGACACAATTTTATAGACGACTTTCCCGGAAGTCAAAGATACGGTGTTTCACATGCACGCGCATGCCGTTTTGGGGTGTAATGTTTTGGGGGGAAATTTCTCTTCTGGTCTCTGTATCTCATCTGCTTGAGGTACCGGACCGGGAAAGTCACCTAAGCTTTACAGTCAAATAGATGCACACAACGAAACACGTTTCAATAGCTAGTCTTTAGCAACGTCGAGAACGCCTCAAGGCGAACTGCCCGGACTGAGCAAGACTATCGCGCCCCGTGGAGCTCTAAGTACTGGACACTTCATATCTTTTGATTAATCGTTCACTATATTAATAACTGCAAATACAAACTGTGAGAAATAGTAGTCAGAATAGCGACGGTTATATCGTAATTAGTTCCAAATCACTGAGTCAAGTTCCGTCCAGGACCTCGCATGAGTCAAAATGATGACAGATATAACACAGAAACTCACTAGTAATCTGCTAAATACTTAGTAAGTCGGTCAACAGACAATCAGCAAACTGACATGTTTTTTTTTTTTAGCCCGACAAAGCAGAAGTATTTTTGCACTCCAGTCTTGCTAATTCCGGGAAAGTCGTCTATTAACCCCTCCCTATACTTCTTGATCAACAAACAGTTATTTATTTTTTGAAATTTGATTTCCGTGTTGAAAAGTTCAGACAACTGATACATTTAAAGAGAGTACTCAGTTGGCCCAACTTCAAGTTCTCCAATGTTAAAGGGCGATGGTCGTCGAGCAGCGCGTGCTCAAATTTCATGTTAACAAACACTGTATTATACACGCACTCTATATGTCTCATATCG